CTCCCCATAGAACATGATAATGGTCGTTTCTTTACATAAGTTACTTTTATTGTTACTTATTTTTATATTTCTGAGTTATTTTGGTGTTTACCTTTGAACCCATTATTAATTTGTCAGTTTATTGTGATAAAAATGTGTGCAATTTCTACTTGGGTGTATATATGATATCTGTAGAGGTAAGCATATGGCTAATATTCTGAATTTTCATGGACACAAAATTAGAAAGGTTATTTGTCTGTAGAGAAAAATTGCAATATACTTGTAAATGTCTCCTTATGAATTATATTGATAATTCCCCTATGTTCATATTTATTTTGTATGTGCTTGACCTCTCATTTGTTTTAAAATCTTACCATTCCTATTCTTTTAAATTCCCTTTGTAATTATAAAAATGTTTGCCATATTGGTTTGGAGCCAGCATGTAAATCTCTAACACTAGAATCTTCTCACATTGGGTTGTATTTTTGAGTCCATTAAAATGGCCCTTTTCGTCCATTAAATAGTATTTGCTCAGAATTCGCTTTCTCTGCAATTATATTTCTGTGTCTTCTTTTTATGTGGTAACATTTGCATGTCACATATTTGCTATTATTTTTTATCCCTCTGTTTTTTCCCCTTTAGTGTAGTTTTGTAAGAAGCATGTCAGAGAGAATTTGACCTTTTAATAAGCAGGTTTAATCCGTTTTGTGGTTTGTTTCTTAGTTTTCATGCTCCATTTCTCATATGCTCTTTGTCTTAGAAAAATATGCTTGGTTTTCTCTTATCTTCTGAAATGGTTTTGAGCTCTGACATTCTAAATTTAATCGTATCAGAGCAGTGGTTTCCAGAGTGTGTTTGTTAGATCACTGGCCCTGTGAGAAGCTCTTTTAGAAAAGGGGATCTGTGGTTAAATATCACAAAAGTGGTGGCATACTAGGTACCCCTTAGGTGTCTTAAAGCACAACATAGAAAAGGCTATGATAAGTCCTGCAGTGGGAACAGAACTAAGAGCCAGTCTTTACTTGTTTCCCTGGGTTATTTTTTAGGAATGGTTGTACCACTATCATAGCCTGACGTTCTCAAAAAGTACTTCCCAAAATGTTCGTCAAATACGGATTACTGAGCCTTTGCTGGTCTCATGGGGAATTTCAGTAGTGGTAAGTTTCTCTCTCCATAGCCCTGTGGTTTGGTGGCCCTAGGAAGAAGGTGGTGAACCCCAGGAGCCAAAGGGCTCACAGAGTAGGGGATGGGCTGCACTGGGCCCAGAGGAGGTCCCCGTGGGGCACGGAGTGAGAGGGGCGGGGAGTAGGCTATGGTGAAAGCCGGAGTTCTTTTCCCCCCAGGGTTGTGCTGTCCTTGGGTGGGGAAAGGCAGAGTCCTAGAGAAAAACTAGAAGCAAAGGTGAAAGCAGGGGGTTTTGTTTCATTTCCTGTATGTGGCTTAGGGAGACCTGCTGGCTGGGTCACCCCAGCAGCAGGGGGCAGCCTATGGTCTGGAGGGATCCAGAGGAAGGAAGCTGGGAGTTGTGGAAGGGTCCGGAAGGGAGGTGTGGGCTGACCCCGGGGCAAGGCTGCCCGCTGTGGTTGAGACCATGGGGATCCACATCTCTAGCGAGAACCAATGTGTGGCCATGGGGCACCTTGCCACGCCGAGAGTCCTCAGGCGTTCAGACCAGTGCCAGATGCACACAAGTGGAATCAGGGCATCTAAGAGGCCTGAGAAGACCTCAAGTCTCTGTCGGAATCTATTCCTGGGACAGAAGGCACACTGTCGTTAGTACACCTGCAATAGAGGTGACTAGAGGAACTGTCTCCAAAGTGTGTCTGAGGGCAGGGGACCCCAGGGGACAGTGCAGCATCCTGGGCATGGAGAGGGAGTGTTACTGAATCCAGAGATGGGGAGGGTTGCCCGGAGAGCGTCACCTCCCAGGATCTGAGACCTTTAGTCAAGAACAAGGCAACTCCTCCCCCCCCCCCCCCAACCCCAGCCAGTGATCCTGCAGAGAAGAAAGCAGGGAAACAAATGCCCTGGCCTCACTCTCTACCTCACTGTAATCTCCTGCCAATGTCCCCACCTGGCGAACCCAGCCAGCAGTTGCAGGATAAGACCTACAGATGGGGTTTGTACGTGTCAGCTTTGCACGCCCCAGAGTGGGGTGGGAAGGACGGGTGGGCACCTGGCAGCAGCACTTGGGGCCAGCACAGGGACTTCAAGACTCTCCTGCTCCCACGCTGTGAGGTCATGTCCATCTTCCATTCCACCCAGGTGTCATCTTGCTAAGAAGGAGACAGGAATCACTGGAAGAGAGCCTGGGATACCCTCCATTAGGAAACTCATGTGGCTGGTCCTGCCCCTTTGTCCTGCACCTCGCAAGACCCATGGGAAGGATGCAGATCAACAGGGAACAGCGATGGACAATAACTGAATTTTTGCACATGTGAATGAAGTGCATGACTGTTAACTCTGATCTACAAGTACTTGAACCTTTAGTATGAATCAGTTTTAAATATTCATTTGTTTTAGTGGTAGCAAGTTATTCTGATGAACAGCCTTTATTATGGTTCATGCTTCAAAATAATTCCCATCTCCCTTGCACAAATCAGCACCCGTTACCAACCACCCATGTACTGTCAAACAATGATGTCTTTTCATTTATTTCCCTGTAATTGAAATATTGTATGATTGGGAACATTTGTGAGCAGTTTCCATGAGGCCCCAACGAAGGTTCAGACCGTGGAGGGTCCCACTTGGACCATCTGTGGCTCACAGGGAAGAACTGATCAAGGAGCCCCTGGAGGCATCTCTAGGACCCCCTAGTAACACATTTTCAACAAGTCCCCAGGGGATGCCCGGCCACATGCGCTGGGCCCCCGACCCTGAGGCATCCTCCTGGGTAGTTGTCAGCTTGAGCAGCCATTGTCAATGCTGACTGCACACCAGAATCACCTGAGGGCTTGAAAATGCTAGTGTGTGAGCGTCTGTGCTTTTTGCAGAGCCCTGGGGATTCTAAGGCACAGGTAGGATTGGACAGAGAACCACTACCCCTTTGTCCTTATCTGTGGCCCACCTGCCCCCCAGGAGGAAGGGGAGCAGTTGCTCTTTGGACACATCTGGGGAGTTTTCTGAACATATCAGCCCAGCTACATCTCACCTTTGTGGAACTTGCCTGCTTGCAGAGAGGTGTGTTCTGGTCTGTGGTCCTGCCCTGCAGTCAGGGGCAGGCCCAAAGGGCAAAATCTGCTGGGTGTCTAGTTTGTTTGTGGCCCAGTGGCCTCCTGCTAATTCAGTGGCATAGTACTACGGGCCCACCTCGTTGAGATCTCAAGCCATATCTTCAAGGAGCTTTGGCCAGTGATACAGCTGATGCTCTCATCTCTTACCTGGCATCTCTTTCTGTATCTCCTTGAGTTAGAACATAGACTGTAAGAGGGGAGTGGTGTGTATTGATACCCCATGTTAAATCTGTCTGGTTGGCATCGGCTCCTCCCACTGCAGGGGGAATGTGTTTGGAATCCTTTGAATGTGTTTCAAAAATGACTGTATTTGTAGTAAACAATTATGGAAAATACATATTTAGGAATATATATCATTACTTTCGCTCTGTTTGATATTGAAATATTTATTTATGCCCTCACATAATCTAACAAAACTCATCTCAACTTATGATACTCATGAACAGTTACCTTCTTAAAGAATGGCCAACACTGGAAAATCACAGTGCACATGCTGAGGTTCAGAGGTCAAGAGGGGAAAATAATCTGAGAAAACAGAGTGAAGGTTTTCTCCCCATGAAACAGACTGATTGCAAGAAATTAAAAACTTCAGAAAGTACCAACAAAATTCTGAAGGGCATTGAGTTTCTAAAAAAGGGGACCCTCTCTAAGATCAGAAGTGAGAGGTTTCAGGGGAAATGCAGGATCCCAGTATTTCGGATTCCCAGGGAAGTGGTGGCTAGTGGTAGGGCCGTTGCAGAGAGAGGAGTTGGTGAAGTGGAAGAACGGTAGAGACACAAGGAGAAAGAGGTACAAGACTATTCATTGATCCAACAGCATTTGAGTACCTCCTATGTGCCAGGCAATATTTAGGGGCTGGGATGAAGCAGTGAACAGATTAAAGCCCAAGCTGTTACAGAACTTGTGCTGTACTGGTGGAATTTATAATAAAACAAATATGTAACGCAACAAGTGGCGATGAGTGTTCTGCAGAAAAACACAGCCGAGTGAGGGGAGAGAGGTCTGGATTGTGGTGTAGATGCCTTTTAACCTCCTTGGTTGGCTAACATTTAAGAAGAGGCTGGAATCAAGGTGTGGGCACAAAAGGACGGCTGTAGGAAGAGCATTTCCGGCAAGCATCAAGTGCCAAGGCCCTGGAGTGCAAACGTTCATGGTATTTCCAAGAACAGATGATGTGTTTCACCACTTTGGGAGCACATTCAGATCTCTCATTTTTCCAAGGAATCACCTAGTTCTCCTCTGCCCTTCATACCAGACAGCCTAATATTTCCCTCCTGAGGTCACAGCCCACATCTACACCCTGTATAGCCCAAGAGGCTTGGGGATATGTTCATTTCACAGGATTCCCCCACTTCTCACGGCTGGTTGGAGAGAAAACCGGAGCATCTGACCAGGCAAGAGCCTCAGGCTTCTATTGCTGCCACTCATAGTTGCATTTGAAAATGTCTTGCACATTCCGATGGTGTCTATCCAACGGCCTCTGCCACTGGCTCCCATGTCCCTGGGTGCCTGCCCTTGGGCTCTAAGCACCCGCTCCTGCAGCTGTGGTCAGATGCTCTCTCTCTCTCCCCCTGTAAAGCTACTTTGCCAGGTTGGCTGGGTCTCCAGACAAATTTCCAACTCTGGTCACATACTTTGTGACATCCAGGATATTCATTGGTTGTAAAACGGTGTAACAATGAAACCTTCATGCCGAAAATTCAATAGATTAAAAAATCCAATTGTACAGCTTTTTAAGACCCTTACATTGTGGTTGGTCCATGGAGGTTGAGAGAGGGATTTTGGAGGAGACTAATGTGACTGTAAGCCAGGGAGAGGGGTTACATCTGACTCCTGCAGGAAATGTGAAAGGCAGGAAGTTGTTGTCCAGCTGCTGATGGGTGAGCAGCAGGAGAGAAGGGCATATTGGGACTGACTGGTGTGCCTGGAGTTTGTTGGGGTAAAGAATTCATGAGCATTTCCCCATTGGGGTTTACACTGGTAAACCCATAGTGGAAGATGGCTGGGGACTGTGGGTACCTAAGAATGGCCAGAAAACCCGAGAGACTTCCTAGGTTTGCTTCAGAGCAGGGGAAGACCCAGTGCCGCAGAATTCATTTGGAGAGCTATCAGAAGACACAATTGCTTCTCTCCGGTGGGTCCCCTGGTTCCATGTGCTGGTTATTTAGAATTCCAGGAGAGAACACAGTAATAGGCTAACATTTCACTTATCACCTTCCAAGCTCAATTCTTAAGGCTTCCACACATATGATCTCATTTAACTTTCACTTTCTCTCCAGAAGGAAATATTCTTATTTTATAGATGAGGAGACAGAGGGTCACAGGGAGTATGTAATTTGCTAAAGTTTATCAAGCAAGTAATGGGTGCACCTGGGCTAAATTAAAATCTTAACACACTCCAGTTGAGGAGGGAAGTTGGCAGTGTAGGTGAACAGGATTGGGCATGAGTTGATGACAGTCGAAGGCTGGTGGTGGAAGATAAGGTTCATTTTACTAATCTCTTTTTTTATGTATTTGAAATTTTCCATTAAAAAATTAAAAAGTATATTGAGCATGTGATTTGGTGAGGGAACTGCATGGTTTGGTGAAGGGGTACATATTGTAAGTAACTCTGAGGCACACACCTATGCACTGGAGCTGAGAATCAGCTCCCAGGGCAGCTGGGGACCCACCCCCACTAGCCTGCCTCCAGCCCATTTAGTCCCCTGCCATCATCCCACTGCCCGGGGTGCTGAGATGGACGGAGGAGAAGTGGAGCTGGGCACCTATGCCTGTAACTTAATCCCTGGGACTCTCCCCTGTCCTCCTTCTAGGGTGACACCCTTCAAGGGCACTCCCAAAGACTGGACAGTGGGGAGAGTCATATTTGCCCCACAAAGAGTTAAATTCACTGCCTGATCTCAGAGATTTGCAGAGCCAGGCCGCAGGGCAGAATGGGCTTTGGGCCATTCTGGGAGGACCCAGGTGTTTACTTGTCTGACAGGTTTCAAGGTCACACTCCTTTCTTCCCCAGAATGCATATCCCTTTGAAAATCATCAGAACAATATTTCATAGAAAGGGGTTTGATCACAGATACTGAGCACTCAACCACTGATGTGTCATTATAGTGGTTTCGATGGTAGTTTAAGCATCAAAGTTTGTGAGTTTTATATTTATTGACAAGAATTAGAATGTATTTAAGGTTATCCTTATAATATTGTCACAATCACTCTTCTGCACTCTGATACATGTTCGTAGTGTGAGAAAAAGGGTGGGAATTAAGATTGTCCAAAATATTGCAGTACTGTTTTTCACCTGAAATCCATCTCTTCCGATCTTAGAGAGGGCCGCCCAGGGGAAGGTTTGGATGCGTGGCTGCCATCCATCGCTTGCCTTGCAGTGGGGAATAGAAAGGTCAAGATTCCCCGTTTAGATGCCCTGCTGGTGATCATCAAGTTGCACTGAATACTGAATCTTGCAGTTGCTATTCAGAAGGGAAGTATAGAGAGAGCAAAATGGATTCGTTTGAACAAAAACCTTACCTGGAAGGGAAGACATGTGTGAATAAAGAAATAAATTACTCCCTTTGCTTATAAACGTTTTCAGGAAAATCACCACTAAGAATCCTGTGTCACGTCAAATGCTTGTTTGCTTAAAAGGTATTGATAGTGATAAATCAGTCTTGGATAAAAGGTCTATGGTTAGGGGTGATTTTATTGATTCGGTCCTGGCTGGCCTCTTGGAAGGACAGCATTATTTTCAGTAAATCAATTGTATTTGGTTTGGAAAGGCTTTGCAGTGCATTTGTCTTAAATTATATTTAAATGATTGATCATCATTTGTATTTGTTAGTGACCTTTACCTGAACTGTCGTGGACCACGTTGGGCTACAGGGATCAGTTTTGGGGATGGCTTATCAGTCTGTAGGACTTTTCTAAAACACTCAGTGTTTTTCTACATTTAAATCCCCTATTAGCTCTTTAATTCAGAAATTGAGGATTCAGGCTTATTTTTGGAAAGCAAATTGGAATTTACATGAGGAGACATGTGTTTTCCTCCCTTCACAGCTATGGAAAGACCACAGGTATGCACATCACTCACTCCCTTTGGGGTCAGAAATGGAAACTCCGGGCCAGGGACAGAAAGTTAGGCCACGCGTCCCAGAAGGAGGCCTAACTTTCAAATCCAGGCTTCTGATCTCACAGAGCCTGACTACTATTACTCTGCTCACCCTTCTCTCCCAGAATGAAGGCCTCAATGCCATCTCTGTTTTCTTATTCTCTCCCTGGCCCCCACCATATCCATTTGTTACAAAAATGGTGGGACTTCCAGCCTCCAGCCTGAGTATCCCTTTCATCCATTCGACCACCCAATTTCCACTGCTCTGATTCAGATCCATAAGGAAGGGGACATGGTGGTTGGGCCGGAGAATGGGTGGCTGCATAACTCCTGGCCTCCTGAGGGACACCCAGATTGGTAGCAGGGTACCCTCAGGTTCTTGGGGAGCTGGACATCAAATCTGGAAGCACGATGGTGCCCTAACTCACGCAGGAGGCGGCCACCCAGTGGTCACTTGTCTGGTGAAAGGTTTCCCAGCGGGCTACCACAGAGCCCTGGGCGGCAGAGACCCAGCTCCTCAGCTCCTACTTTACCAGAGCTTCTAGGCATTATGCCTTGGAACCAACCGATCGCCAGCATCTCCCTCCTTCCTCTACGGAAGTGGCAACATTCTTCCAGTGTGTTTGTGGGGGGAGAGGGTGCAACTTTTATTTGCTTTGGGAAAGCCTAGATTAAAACGTGCCACCTTGCCCTACACGGTGAAGTGATAAAACGTGCTTTCTGCAGGCAGCAGAATGACGGGGGTTGTGAGGGTCGGAGAGAAGAGCTGGACCTCAATGCTGAGGGTGTATCAGCTTCCTAGGGCCACTGGAACAAAGTGCCACAAGCTGGGCAACTTAAAACAACGGACATGTCTTGTCTCACAGTTCTAGAGACTCCAAGTCCCAGGTCAGGGTGTGGGTCGGGCTGACACGCTCCCTTGGAGGCCTACAGGGAGAAGCGTCCCTTGCCACCTCCTCGCTTCTGGCGCGACTGGCCAGCAACCTTCGGCGTCCTTGCCTTGTAGATGCATCGCTGTAATCCTCTGTGAGTCTTCACACCATCTGCCCTCTGTGGATGTCTGTCTTTGTGTCCAGTTTCCCTCTTTTTATAGAACACGAAGCATAATGGATGAGGGCCCTCCCAAATAATCTCATTTTAGCTTGATTACCTTGGAAAAGACTATTTCCAAGTAAGGTCATGCTCTGAAATGCTGGCAGTTAGGACTTCCTCTGTTTGTGGGGAGCCACAGCTCATCCCACAACTAGTGGGAGATTGAAAACAATGCGAAAGGAGTGGGAGCCCAGGGGCTGGGTGCTCCGGGGAGCAGGACCTGTAGTGCAGCGGCCAGAGAATTCTTAGGAATGGGAGCCCCAGCACTGAATTTCAAGGTATTCTTAGCTCTAATCTGTAATTGCACCTCATTTTTCCCCAACCTTCATCGAAAGACCTGTGCCTGAGCTGGCGGAGCCTGGGGGTGACAGGGGCAGATGTGTCCATGTTTGGGGTCATGGGATATGTCCCGCTGTTTATCCGCTAACCCTCCAACCCCGGAAAGAGGCCCAGACTTCTCTCAGCGAGTGGGGCTATGCTCCAGGAGTTTCATTTGGACATTATGGGAAAGGCCCCAGGGGAGTGGGGACAGATCAGAGAATTTAGGGACAGTTAACTTCCTTGTCTTTAAATAACTGTCTTCCACGTCAGGCTCTGTGCTGTCAGGAGCCGAACAGCAGTGGGTGGCAGCAGGCCTTGGCGTTGGCGGGTCCTCAGTAAGTCCCTCCTGGATCGAAGGGAATGATGTGAGGGGTACTTGGGAGGCACAGGAAGGTGGGGGCGTACAATGGCAGAGGCTGTAGCAGAGGTGCAAATATACCAGTAAACCTCAGGCCCAATGTCACCCTGACTTTCTCAGCTAATAGCCCAGCTTTTTACCAACTCTCCCTCACAATCCCTAGGGCCTCCTCATTTGGATTCTGCCCCGGAGAACAGAACACAAGACCTTCACTGATATCGTGACCTTTAAATCTTGCCTGGGGACATTTTCTCCATGTTTTGTGTTGCCATGTGGCTGCCTCAAAGGTGGTGTGGTGTTTGGGGTGGGGGGCCTGGCCCTCTGACCGAGCTTAAATCTGCTGCTGGTCCATGAATACACAGGAGATATTAAGAAATACTGGGGACTGTTGAGGAACGTGTGGCTCTAGCTGTGATGCAAACTAGTGCTTGGCGGTGGGGAAGGGACAAATGAATTGGTGTCAGAACAGGTGAGTTCTAGCTTCTCTGCTGGCTGCACAGCCTGGAACCAGCCTGCCTCACAGGTCAGCAAAGTGGTCCTGAGGATTCAATGAGAAACACGTAGAAAAGGACTTTACAACTGGAGGATCCCAAGTGCTTTAAGTGAACGTAGGGTCCGCCTGCTGGAGAGGACGGGCCTCGTGCTGTGGAGCGGGGCCTTCCTCAGGGCTGCTCTGCCAATGAGAGGCTTCCTTTGCACAGACTTGCTGGTTCACTTTGGTGAGACCTGAGGAGTTGCAGTCTTCACTCTGGCCTCTTCAGGAACCCTCCCTTGGTGCCCAGGGTCTGCACCTGGCCAGCGGTAGCATGCTGTTTGCCCCGAGGGCAGCCAGTCACAGCCTGTCCTCTCGGTAGGACCATCTTGGGAAGGCTTCTGGAGTGCCTGCTGCTCACAGAGCGGGCGTGCCACTATGGGGCTGCCTCTGTGAGTCTTTTCTGCGGAGGCATGGAGGGCCACATGGTGGCCTTCTGCCCATCAAAATCTAGGTGGGTTGGGTGCCCCCTGGAGGCTGGGCCACATCTCCTCTGACTTTGCATCTCTGGTGTTTTAGTTGGGGCTGCCCTTTGTGTGATAGAGGCTCTTCCTGGTTCGTCCAAGTGTCCTAGGCAGGTGTTCAGGTGTGCGGGGCCTTTCAAGGGCCCAGGCTGACGAAGCTCCACCATCCTTGGTACACAGCGTCCAAAGCCATGGCTGTTTCTATCCCAGCCAACCGGAAGGGAGGGAGAGCACTTAAGAACTCCAAGGGACAGGCCTCAAGGCAGACACACACATTTCTTCACTGCCCGCTGGCTAAAACCAGCCCCGTGGCCTTAGTCACTGCAAGAGCCTGGGACAGGTCTGCTGGGGTGCCCAGGGAGAAGAGGGCAGGATTCTGGTGTGCAGCTGTTTGCCGTATCTGGGGACAGAGTCCAACAGGGAGCAAGTGCTCAACAAATGCTTGCTGGAGGAATGGGGTAAGAATGGGTTAAGAAGTTTATGCAGTGATGTCAATACCAACAGGAATGTGGTCTCCAGAAAATCCATCAAAAGTCATTCTGCCCAAACTTTCCACACTTTTCATCAGGTACAAAACATGTTTCATCTAGTGTTTATAATCCTCACTCTGTTCTGGCCACTAAACTACATGCTGGCGACCCTTTGCTAATGACACCAGGCTTCCGCCTTCAAGGCACTT